ATGATACAAAATTGTCTGGTGTATCATGATACAAAAATGGATGGTGTATCGTATCATGGGTCAAGTATCATGACTCAATCCGACCTAGCAGCTGACATTCCCACTATGGAAAACTTCACAAACCTGGCAATTATGCCACAAGGACAGAAAGTGCCACAAGCCTGCTAGCCCTGGCACATCCGCCTCACCCAGCCTCCATTCAACATCCTTCAACACCTACAGAAAATATATCCAATAAAAAATCTACAATAGTTTGGCAAGTCTAGAAATATAGTTTCTGAAAATGAAGTGACTCTTGGTTCCCTCCTATTATCATGCTTTTATATCAAAATACAATGAACAAAATCAAATCTTAAAATATTTTCATCTTAAAGATATAATGTTAGTCTGCCTTCATGTATCGTAGAAATTGGAATCTTGGTGTTGTTCCATGTTACAGACATTCAGGCTATTAGGCTCACAAGGTTAATTTCCATCACAACTCTAACATAAGATGCATGTGACGGTGAAGTGCATAGAGAGCATATAGCAGGGCAGTGAAAGGCTTGATCATTGTACAACATTTGTGTTCATGACAATAAGATGAATAAAACCTGTTCATATCTGTAACTTCTATAATTTATAAAAGCTCTTCGTCACAAGTCTGTCATAACTCACATCACATATTACATACCGTATTCACCATATTAAACGCCCAATTCCAATAATCAACCCCTTTACCAACTTCTAGACTGATCTGTAAGTAATCTGTAAGTAAGTACCCCATATCAGACTGAAAAGTTACATGACATTCTATGTAGTCTTGTATATATTACATTTATTTGACACAAGTGAGTGAGTGAGTGAGTTGGGTTTAACGCTGCTTTTAACATTATTCTAGTTATATCACGGCTTAATATGGGAGGAAAGCCTGAAATGATGCAGGTCTCAGACGTTTACCACTTCGGTGAAACCCACGAGCACGGGTATGGTGCTGACAAACCTAGAAACATAATCAGGGCGAACCGGGATTCGAACCCACAATCATAGGTTTCTGGCGTGCCCAAGGGACGCAACTCTGCACAGCAAATTGCGGCGCCTTAGATGACTGGGCCACCCGTGCCCCCTATATTGGACACAAAACGAAAGCACTGAAGGGGTATATAATTGCTAACTGACAATTACCGAATATGTTTTAGTATGTCCATCCTCGCTTGATCTCTGGAAACAAATTTAACTTGTGTATGGCTTTAATAAGCGCTCCCCAACCCCAACCAATTTTATAAGTGCCTGTGACGTATATTACGGTGAATACGGTAATCACATCATGCATATACTCAACACTTGAAAACACTATGAAATCGTACTTGATATTGGGCAATATCACCAGAGACCATATAATAAATGTTATGGTCTCTGCTATCACTAACTCACACAGTCACTCATTAAGAAATTTGTAATCTGTAATCTGCATGGCTAGTTGGTGTATTTTAATTCTCAAAATCAATCTGTGTTTTTGATTATATATTCAAATAAAGCCAATCTAAAACTATGTACACAATAGAAGTCAACACACCTATACATATGAAAAAAAGGCCTCTCATTTAATTTTGTCAAATCACGTTGGTTGGTTTGGTTGGTTTTTTGTTTAACGCCGCAGTCAGCAATATTCCAGCTATATGACGGCGGTCTGTAAAATAATCGAGTCTGGATACAAAATCCAGTGATTGATATCATGAGCATCAATCCATGCAATTGGGATCGATGACATGCATCAACTAAGTCAGTGAGCCTGACCACCCGATCCCGTTAGTCGCCTTTTACGACAAGCATACTCACCTTTTACGAAAATCACGTGACCCACTTGGTCAGGATGTAAACAAACACCGCCCACCACTACTGACCATGAAACAAAATCACTTCGTGCAAAAAGAAAGGTATATTAGATAATGTCTACATACCAAAAATAGATTTACAAACAAGTAGATGGCCATATTAACAATGAAGAATATACATTATAACAAAGTTTGAAAGTGCAACATTTCTGGAAAAATCTACAGCATTTAGGTTTCACTAACACTGGTATATGTACTGTGTTAGCAATGAATGTTTCACTAACACTGGTATATGTACTGTGTTAGCAATGAATGTTTCACTAACACTGGTATATGTACTGTGTTAGCAATGAATGTTTCACTAACACTGGTATATGTACTGTGTTAGCAATGAATGTTTCACTAACACTGGTATATGTACTGTGTTAGCAATGAATGTTTCACTAACACTGGTATATGTACTGTGTTAGCAATGAATGTTTCACTAACATTGGTATATGTACTGTGTTAGCAATGAATGTTTCACTAACATTGGTATATGTACTGTGTTAGCAATGAATGTTTCACTAACATTGGTATATATACACACATTCAGAGCTGGACACTGGTCAAGCAGCTATTTCAAACACAGGTAATGTTCTGAATTGCTTATAATACAAAGTTAATTCAACCATAGGCTAACATTTAGTCTAGGAAATCTTATATTACACGATATCCTTCTTGACAAGGTAGACACAATTTTATGAATATATCCTTCTTGACTCTGAAAATGAAAAAAAAAAGATTCCCTATGCTGATTTCATATGTGGAATAGAGCTAGCTAGAGCTGGCTAGACTTGACTTTTGTATACGTTTCTAGATTTATTTATTTTTCATAAAATAAATCTATTCCACAGTCATCGTGCAGGACTAATTCACCCAATGCAGTTTCAGTTTTAACAAATGACTAGCAATAGGGTCAAAGTAAACAGTCTTGTATAGTTTGGGAGCCATATCTTATAATCCTATGTAAATTTCGTGGCGAGGAGAGGTGAGGTGAGGTGATACAATTGGTGAGGTGAAATGGGGTTTTACATCGCGTCCAAGATTATTGCACTTATACAGCGATGTGCATGCATGTGTGTGCGTGTCTGCTTGTACTAGTCCGGACTGACGCCAATTTCATAGTGCCAGGTCATTGAGATACCATGCCGCAGTTTAACATGGACACCCCACTCAGACACAGTATACTGACTCTGAGCCCACCAGGCCTTGCTTTAACCCCTTAATGCCAAGGGCCAGGCAGGGTAACAACAAGTACCATTGTTTAACGTCTCTTTGTATGACACAGGCGGGGATCGAACCCCAGTCCTTCCGCTCTCTGGGCGGACAATCTAAAACTAGACCACAGAGGCAGTTGTACACTTCAAGAAAATTGGACATAGCATAGTTGGGTGGATATGTCTAAAACTATAAAAAGCATAGTGGGGTAGGAATTTTATTAAAAAGTGCAGTGCTCATGACATGCATGTTGCGTGTGGTCCTTGCTAGTGTACAGAAACACAGGACAAGTATATGGCAACATGAAGATCAGAGGGTCTGCTGTCAATAGTGTCATTCAGAAAACAATGACAAGTCAAATAACAAAGCTAAAAACACCTAAGTAAATGAGCACTAGATGTAGTGCTTCAAGTTTTATTTGTTTGTTTTTTGTTTAATGCCACACTCAGCAATATTCCAGCTATATGACAGCGGTCTGTAATTAATCGAGTTTGAACCAAACAATCCAGTGATATACATCATGAGCATCGATCCACGAAATTGGGATCCAATGACATGCATCAACCAAGTCAGCCAGTCACCAGATCCCGATAGTGGTCTCTTACAACAAGCATAGACACCTTTCCCGAAAACATGGGTTGCTGAAGACCTACTCTAACCTGGGTCTTCACGCATCTGTAGTGCTTCAAACTACATCTGTGTGAAGTCAGGTCATTGTTTGTTTACAAAAGTTGATCATGCAGGTACGACAGTCACCAACCATGTATGACGGCGTCTTTGTTTTCAGCCACTATATCAAGTAATTTATGAATTATAAACAAAACACTGCTAACCCAGGTAGTGAAAATGTCCAGTACAGGAGTTGGTGAATACATAACACTGCTCATTACAATCAAAACACTTGTGACACCACCTAGAGCCCCCATGATCTTAGTTGACCGGACCTAGCTCATTTAAATATACCTTATTGGAAGATCACATTTCAAGTACAGACTGTGGGGAAAGCAAACAATTTCTTCCGTCTTCCGGCTATCATCTATCATGGAATACTGTATCTACAGTCTTAGTGTAGCCATTTGTTAAAAAGTGTTTAGAAATTTCATTACAAACTTTAGGCTAGGGTCGCACTTGTATAAATTTGGTTAGACATTAATTTCATGATTTACAGTACCGTGTTCGACGTAATAGGCACCTCTTCCCATTGATCAATGTACACAAGACTTGTTTATTCATGTATAATATGCACTTGTGTGTTATATGCACCCTTAATTATGGGCAATTAAATTCTGGAAAATATATCTATCGTGTATATGATACGCACATATTCTTCTTTTGTATCATTTCAGGCTGTCAGCATAAACCATGAAATTTACAATCTTTCAACTCTCACCAAAATTATATTCTAATAAGAGCCCCCTTTTTCTAATTTTGAAAGCGCCCTGGGCCCTTATTACGTCGAATACGGTATGTCATATTCTTGGAAACATAACCTCCTGAGGGGAGCTTGAAGATCTATTACATGTATGATCAGTTTCCAGACACGCATATTCGCCATCCAGCACCGTATATACAAGTATTGCACATAGCCAATCTTATGCAATATGAACCACATTACTGAGCTGCCATTTTCCCGAGGCAAGGGAGTTAACTGACTGTAAAAGTCCAGTTTCCATCCTTGCCGAACTTGGCTGGAATTTCTGGTCTCGATCCTAGCGCCACCAGAGGCTACTACAAGTTATGTCCCTTCTATGTCCCTCCTATTGATCAATCAGATTCCACCTCTCATATCACTTTCATTAACTTAAAACAAAATGTTGACAATGAAGACAATCTGATCAATAATAAAGACCTGTTATGTAATAAAACAGGTCTTACTTCTCAAACTGCATCAAATCACAAGAGCACCTTGATTAAAAACAGGAAAAGATTTGGAAAATATCTGTTGTCAGTACACATGCTTTGCAAATCCTGCAATCGACCGAAATCTGTCGATTTCGTTACATGATTTTGTTTGGACTATATGTAGACTCGTTAGTCCAACCACAACGTAACACCATAATTTAAGCCTAGTTTAGCAAGGGTGGAAACAGGACTTTTATAGTCAATAAACTCCGTTGCCTCGGGAAGACACTGAGCTGCAGACACTGATTCACATCTAATCATGCACAAAGTGACTTCGACTGAGACATTTGAGAACAGAGTTGGACACTTTCCCAGCGGTGGCGAGAGCGAAGTATTTATACGGAGGCGGGATGTGAATCCTGGTGTGGAGGCCTCCCCCGTTTCCAACTCCAACCTCCAACAGTGCCGTAGCGTGATGTTGAAAGCTTGACAGCTCCCAAACGCATCCCCCAGCTCCTGCTGAAACGTGGGACAGACACGGGAAGTGGCCTTCGATGCTGGACGCCCGGCACCATCGGATGTCTGACAGATCAACCTGAACAGGGAACTCCCACTGGCTCTTCTCTTTGTTGTACCCCCGCATCCATCCATCCCCGTCGATGATGTAGATAGTTCCTTCCCTCACCATCACTCGCACAGGAGAAGGCACATAGGTAACAGCTGCGAATTTTTCAATTACATTCGTGCTGGTATCGAAGGTGTGACCTTCTTTGATAATCAGCAAGTTCTTGGCGACGTTTACAGCAATGTCTGCTTTGACAACATATATCTTCGATCCCGAGACCGATATAAGCGACAGGGGAGTGCTGTAGTGGTCATGTGACACCTCGGCCACTGGTTCCCACGTTAGCTGATCGGTGAGACGGTAGTAGCGTTGCTGAGTCTGATAGTGGTCCCGTGTGTCGGACAACAGTCGATTGGATGCCAGGACATAAAGAGAGTTGTTAACGGCCAATGGAATGACACTGCGGACATCCCCCTCCAGACCTTCCAGGACTGGTCGGCAGTCAAGAGTCTGCCAGACCCGAGTCACTAGATCCAGTCGGTAGCCCCGTCCACGGATCGGGCTCAGGAAATATATCTTATCATGTGTACAACAAGTCCGCCAGTTGCTCTTCTCATCAAGGATTCCTGATGGAAACAGATTGAAAAATATATGGACTTATTAACATATATATCTATTTTATTTATCATGTGAACAGCTTCTACAGATTAGGAACTAGTTTGTCACTGACATCAGTGAAATCCTTCAGTTACCATGGTTACTATGTAATTACGACCGAAAAGCAAAGAAAAAATGACTCTTCAAATTTGGAATTTACAGAGATTACGTCCTTTAACAGTTAATAAATCAAAGATTATTACTCAGTACCTGTGTTTTGTTGATCCAGAAATATGTTCACTTCACTTAATTGGTAGTGTCCAAGGTTTTATTGTATCCATTAAACTTGTTATACTTTCATTGTGGATTCTAGGATTCTTTGTACATTATCTGTATTAACTGTGAGAATTTATTACCTGTGAGAAACGGATTCAATTTTCCTTGATTACCATAGACGTTTGGGCCTGGTGAAATGCTAGTATTATTTCTCCAGCATCATAACCATATTCATGACATGCATTCATTACAAGATCAACTACCCAACAAACCTGGACAGACAGACAGTGTTTTCAGTAAAAGGCCATAGGCCCATAATCAATGATAATACAGACAATGTTTGATTGCACAAACTATGCATGACAGTGAAGTAATCGATTAGTTTTCTCTTAGCCGTTGGACTAATATTTATATATAAACATGTGTTATGTACAACATCAAAGTTTTCAGATGAAATAATTTAGTCAAAGATATAACAGTTTGAAATTTGATATGAATAACGCTCACATACAAGCAATATATGGAAATCATCTTCATTAAAAGATCAAAACCTACCTGGAAAGGTGACTGTTCCAAGATTGAGCCAGATCTTTTGTTCCGATTTATAAAAACTGACATCAAGACAAGTTGAACTCAGAATCTTCTTCTGGTCGAAGTCCACCTCAAGAATGCTCTGCACCACTTCCCGAGTTGGTGCCATGACGACCACGCAATCTGAGAAGCTACTTGACATCGGATTGGTTGATTCTGCAGGTCTACTGGGCAGCTGCAGCTCGCTGGGGACAACAGTTGTTGGAGTCAGTGGAGGACCGGATGACCGACTGCTGCCATCTTCCGGAACTAGCAGACTAGTGGAACCTGAGAATGGACTGCAGTCTTGGTTAAGACTTTGAGCACCATTGTGCAAGGAGTATTCCCCAGTGTCGTCAGGAGTCTTCACTGGGTCGTCCTGCATCTCTTGATCGGTCATGACACCCTTGACGATTTCACTGAAGTCCCTGGTTACCGTCTCCGACTCGTCCTTGTGAGCTTCCAGCCAGGCGTCCATGTCCTTGAGTCCCTGTTCATCCAGACCAACACACATGCTGTGGAAGAGCTCCTTGGCCGTGGAGAGACGTCGGCTGACATCTTTGTAAGCTGCCCACGAGAAGAGGAGTTTCAGGATCTGACTCGAATCACAATATCTCTGAATACTTCGTTGAAATAAGATGCATAGATGGTGGGGGGATACCTGCAAAACCTCTTCTTGGTAAATGAAGTAGTCGTGAAATCGTGATTCGAGAATGGAAAAAGCGTAATTTTCAACTTCTTCAATGTCGTACATGTCTGCCAGGACGAAGTAGTTGACGCTGGTTTGTAGCTGGATGTCGTTCATGAGGAACTGCACACACAGTTCCTTGAGGGAGTCGATCATGAGGAAGGATACAAGCTGGGTCACGGGGGCAATGTTGCTGCGGTCAAGATGCAACTGACCGGAATACAGGGAACTGATGACTGTGTCCAGGTGGGTCATTTCGTCTACTGCATCACTCAAGTCCACCGTTGTCATCCCCTTGTCGGATTCCAGGAAATTCCCGGAGAACATTCCACTGAAGTAGGGGCTGCATGCTGCCAGGACACTGCGGTGGACGGGAATATGCCGGCTGCTGACCGTTAGCTGGACGTCGCAGAACCGGCCCTCTTGTCGGTCCTGGTTCATCTTGGTCAGCAGGGACTCAAAATGGCTCCTCGGCAGGTGTGACTCCACCATTGTGGGAGATACACTCACGTCTGAAATAGATAGTTTGAGTTTAGTATCATGTCACATTTGCTGGGAATAAACACAAAGATCAGGGTTGGTCCTTGTGTGAAAGGCTTGCACTACTACATGTCACCTGTACTCATGACTTTGGTAAGAGCATCCGTAACCATGAGAACAGCATTCCTATCATCTGCCTGCTCCTTTTGGAAGAGTGGAGAAACAAAGAAATCATTTTACCATTTGCATTATTTGAAAAATAAATCTTTTGTGAGTACACCTTTGGCAAGTTTAGAATTCATGTGAATATTGCAACCTCATCAAATTGTTTTAACCTCTTAATCTGACAGCTTTAAGATAATTAGACCATCTTACTACTACATGATAGCTCAGGTAAAGAGTGGGCCTTAAGGTAAGCTACTGGTTACAATGTTGGCTCGTCACGTTGGAGACCACATGCATTGGTACATTGTATGTTTCAAGTGGTACAATGTATGTTCACATGGTACAACGTATGTTTCACATGGGTACACTGTATGTTTCAAGTGGTACAATGTATGATACATGGTATAATGTATGTTTCGCATGGTACAATGTATGTTTCACATGGGTACACTGTATGTTTCAAGTGGTACAATGTATGTTCACATGGTACAATATATGTTCACATGGTAAAATGTATGTTTCACATAGTACACTGTATGTTTCAAGTGGTACAAAGTATGTTCACATGGGTACACTGTATGTTTCACATAGTACACTGTATGTTTCAAGTGGTACAATGTATGTTCACATGGTACAATGTATGTTTCACATAGTACACTGTATGTTTCAAGTGGTACAATGTATGTTCACATGGTACAATGTATGTTTCACATAGTACACTGTATGTTTCAAGTGGTACAAAGTATGTTCACATGGGTACAATGTATGTTTCACATAGTACACTGTATGTTTCAAGTGGTACAATGTATGTTCACATGGTACAATGTATGTTTCACATAGTACACTGTATGTTTCAAGTGGTACAAAGTATGTTCACATGGGTACACTGTATGTTTCACATGGTACAATGTATGTTTCACATAGTACACTGTATGTTTCAAGTGGTACAACGTATGTTCACATGGGTACACTGTATGTTTCACATAGTACACTGTATGTTTCAAGTGGTACAATGTATGTTTCAGATGGTACAATGTATGTTCACATGGTAAAATGTATGTTTCACATAGTACACTGTATGTTTCAAGTGGTACAAGGTATGTTCACATGGTACAATGTATGTTTCACATAGTACACTGTATGTTTCAAGTGGTACAAAGTATGTTCACATGGTACAATGTATGTTTCACATAGTACACTGTATGTTTCAAGTGGTACAAAGTACGTTCACATGGGTACACTGTATGTTTCACATAGTACACTATGTTTCAAGTGGTACAATGTATGTTTCAGATGGTACAATGTATGTTTCACATGGTACAATGTTTCACATGGTACAATGTATGTTTCACATGGGTCCAATGTATATTTCACATGGGTACAATGTATGTCATAGATCTATCACTCGAGATGAACCATTTGCCTCGTACAGGATTATTCTGTGAAGTTTGGAAATTACGTGCAGCATATCTTGATAAGAATAAAGACACTCTGTGGTAACACTTGACTGATTGTTAGTTTTGTCATTAATTGGTACACTTTGGAAACACATCTTCTTAATGTACATGGGGGGCACAGTTGGCCCAGTCGTCTAAGGTGCTGCCATTCGCTGTGCAGAGTTGCGTCCCTTGGCGCGCCAGAAACCTATGATTGTGGGTTTGAATCCTGGTTCACCCTGATTATGTTTCAAGGTTTGTCAGCACCATACCCGTGCTTGTGGGTTTCACCGAAGTGGTAAACGTCTGAGACCTGCATCACTTCGGGCTTTCCTCCCACATTAAGCTGACACGCTGTGATATAACTGGAATAATGTTAAAAGCGGCGTTAAACCCAACTCACTCACTCACTCACTTAACGTACATACTTCTCTACATGTTTCTATGGTTCACGTTTCTTTTGGCACATTTTATACATAATCAGCCAAATTACACAGCATGACCTCTTCAGCTGCCTTGGACAACACATGTCACCTATTGGTCCCCAGAATCCTCACTCGGGTGATCAACGCACCTGACATAAAGAAGTAAAACGACAGTCTACGACTTTACCAACTGGTCCAAGCTCGAGCCAAATATCCCAACTGCAGGGATGAATGCTCATGAAGGCAATCACTGGATTGTCTGGTCCAGACTCGATTATTTACAGACCACCGTCATATAGCTGGAATATTGCTGAGTACGGCATTCAACAACAAACAAACAAAACATAATACTAGTCAATAACTAAGACTCGAATATACTGAAAATAAGACCAAAATACTTTCTGGACTTTTGTCACAGACTGAAACGATATTAAACAAATAAACACGAGAAAAGACGCACAATGTGAACCTACTTTCAAACGACTTCACAAGCTTGTCCTCAAGAGCCATTCTATCGGTTGAATCTGACATGTCTAATTGCTGACATGGGCCTTCGTATTGTTGACAGGAAGGAAATACAAAAGTGCAGTTGACGTGAGACTAGATCAGTGGCAGATAAAACAGATGCTGGAGGACAAGAAGCCTGCACTAGCTCACACAGGCCACCTGTCACCCCTGTCAAACACCAATCAATACCAAGTCTGTCATCAGTGTACCTTGGTTACCTGCTGGCAAATTACAGGTTATAATAGATGATGATGCCCAAATTTCAGTGTTTCCTCATAATGAGCTGTGTTTGTCATGCACTGTGGACCAAAAGTCACGGTTGTCGTTGGCGACGCTAGATTGTTTGGATGGTTGGTTTGTTGTTTAACGCCGCACTCAGGAATAGTCCAGCTATATGACGGCGGTCTGTAAATAATCGAGTCTGGAGCAGACAATCCAGCGATTAATATCATGAGCATCGATCCACGCAATTGAGATCAATGACATGCATCAATCAAGTCGGCGAGCCTGACCACCCGATCCCGTTAACTGTCTCTTACGACAAGCATAGTCGCCTTTTACGGCAAGCATGGGTTGCTGAAGACCTATTCTACCCCGGATCTTCACGGGTCTAGTGAAATATCTTTAGGTCAAGTAAGCAATGATTAGCTAAGGAGTGGTCTATTCAAATAGTTACTAAAGGACAAGAAGACATTTAAAAGTTCTGCGTTGTGGTGAGATGTTGTTAAATTGATTGAAGGATACAAAAGTGGGTTTATAGACCATATTTTCTGGACTGATCCGTGTTTGAATACGTTTCTTATTGAGACAAAACTTAATATTTGCAGTATTTTGTTGAACTACACGAATAATGAAATCACAAAAAATGACAAAATCATTCATGATACTTGTTTTCCAATAACCTCATAAATAGGCATTGGGTTGTCATGGAGACATATGACTGTATCCATTGCAAGACAACACTGCTGCTTCTAACAGATGTTTAAGTGCATGCAGAATCAGGACTGCAGATAATTACAGATAACATTTCTAAAATTACTGTGTCGATAAACATGTTTCCAAAGTTTAGATTGTTACTTAGCTAGATATTGCCACTAAACTTTGCCTTGCAAATATTTTCCCTAGCAATAATATCTCATTGACAGTACAACAGATAAGCAGTGTATTTGCATATAATACCACCCCCCTCCCCCTCCAAAAAAAACTAAAAAAATATTCAAAACCCAGTTACTTTCAATTAACTTGCATGCAGAAACGCATCTTAAAATGTTCACTAATTTGGGGGAAACCCAATAGAGTGATGAATGGATGAGTGACAAAATATTGGTTAACCAATGAAAAATGTAATAACCCAATTAAAATAGAAACCCTAGAGTAAAAACTCAATTGCTCAAAAAGTTATCGGGAGCTCTGCAGTCTGAAATCAGTCTGAGTATGGAGATAGTAACCTCGGCAAAATTTCAAGATACAAGACAATATTTACGCTGTGCAAACCGTGTAAAAAGCAACAACAAAATTGTAAAAAACCCACAATGTTTACATTGGGAAGAAAACAGTATTTCTACATCAGTTCTGTGACCATTAGGGTTACAACAAGGATCAAGTCATAACAAGACCAATTTTAATCTAAAATACAAATTGAAAGATCAGGTTATGGCCAGCATAACAAGGTCAGAATAACCTCAAAATGTGAACCAGTTTCTGACAGCTTGTGACTCAGATATTCTCCAGGGAAGGATATGATTGATCTATTTACAAGTGTCGCAGCCCTAGTGCAAGAATTAGCCTACTTGTCATGCTCATTATGTATTTAAATACTCAAGATTGTGGGAAAAGTGCCCTGCATGTAATGCTGTCTCATGTAGTTTAGGGTAGGCTGTCATACAGTCGAAGTCAGAGTGAATAAATATTACCGTACTTGCCATCATAAGGTACCTGGACACTTAGAAAATACATGAGTTAGATTTGTTTTCAGAGATCTAGCAGGTAGTTAATATACTTTGTTCAAATATCGTTGAAACTAAAACTGTTTCAATGTGTAATATACACAAGAAAATATGGACTGTCACTTAAATTTCTGTTTTATACATGGGTACTTAAAAAGAGTCCATGAGTATGGTTTTACGCATCTTCCCGAGGCAAGTGAGTTAACTGACTATAAAAGTCCAGTTTCCATCCTTGCCTAACTAGGCTGGTATTATGGAGTTACATTTTGGCTGGACTAACGGGTCTATGCATAGTCCAATCAAAATCACGCACCGAAATCGAAATCCGGTTCGTAAACTGTCGTGCAGATTTCGGTCGATTGCAGGATTTGCAAAGCATGTGCACCGACAACTCGATGTCAGCAGATATTTTCCAAATCTTTTCATGTTTTTAATCAAGGTGCTCACGTGATTTGATACATTTCGCGATGTAAGACCAGTTTTATCACAATATAGATCTTGATTATCGATCAGATCGCCCTGACTGGGCGCCCCCATTTTGTGTGAAGCAAAC